TGAAATCTTATCTTTTCCTAGTTCCAGTACCTGCACCAATTTAAAAGTTGCAATCATTTTTGTACTGAAAATATTAATTTTAACAGTTGTAAATATGTGGATTAATTCTTATTTAAATAGTTGACGAATCGATCATTTATTGTATCGACATTTACGAACATATCTTGACATAGAAATTAGTTAAATTTTCCTTTCATTTGTGTTTGTAGACTATTTCCTATATATCTAATGTATTTGACTCTACCAATCACCTCGCCAGTTGTTTACCGATTATAAGCATATAGCTACTCACTTAATAAACAAGTGTGATCATGTTGACCAATAAATGCTGCGACCATGTCCACTAATACAATTGTTGCCACCACATAAATAGTTGCCATATAATGCAATGTTGGCATTCAATTATAGTAGTTGATAGCTTGCACAAATAACGGCCATTTTTACGGCTAAAAATGTGCACGTGGGAAAACACGTGATAAACAGGTCCATTAAATAGACAAGTGGATTCCAACTGGTGTATTTTATAACTGTCTATCTTGATTTACTTTGTCTATACGATATATGTTGCGATTGCTTACTATATTATTTTAGATGAATTATTGCAATACAAGCGAGACCAGATATGTTATTCATTCAATAAAATGGGTCCAAGAGTAAATATGTTGGCAGGTAAATGTAAAAAAAAACAAAGATGTAACTGCAGTTTATCAAAAATGATGAATCATAAACCATTTTTTCAGTGGGAAATGTCTTGACATAGGAATGAACGTGATAGCTGAAATGGTTAACTTGATAAAATATCGTGAATATTGTCATGAATTTGTTTTTGCGTATCTGTTGACCGACTTAATTAACTGATTATTAGCGAATTGCTGTGTTATATCTGTCATCGTGTAGGCCTATTTGAAGTTTTGGACGGAACTTGGCTCAGTGGTTTGGAACTAATTACAAGATACCGTCGCTATTCTGACATCCGTAGTTATTAATGTAGTGAACGATTAATCAAAAGATATGACGTATTCAGTACTTAGTGTGATTGGCTTTATGATTGAAGGTTACGCCCTAGAGTCTTTTTACTGTTTTGTAATTGGTTAGAGTTTTGAAAATGAATAAAGAGAGTTTGAGTTGGTCTTGGCGAATACTCCACGACAGACACAGTCGAGAGTCCTGGAGAGACTTGGGGCGAGCCTTGACGCAGTCTAAGAGAGTCTTGGGTCAGCCTTGCGATATAGTCTTGGGGACTTTTCCCCAGGGCGCTGTGTCTTATAGAGTGCTCCAAAAGATCGACTAAGACGAGAGCTGAAACGTATTTCGTTGTGTGTGTCTTATTTGACTGTAAAGTATAAGTGACATTCCCGATCCCGTACCTCAAGGGGACGAGATAGAGAGACGAGACGAGTTTCCCCCCTGACAGTGTGGAGAACCCAGAGAGAGAGAGATTTAACCCCTGATAATATTAACACAACACGCAATACACACGTATTAGTTTCTACCCGGGACACCACAATGGCTAGGTGGCAGGTTAACGTCATATTTCAGCGTGTTGGGCAAACACACCTCTATTTCCTAAACCGTATAAATACAGCTAAAAATAGTTCGACAGGATACACTAAATCGCAGCGGACAAACTATGAGCAAGACAATAGCAACAGCTAACGAAATACAACGAAAAAAGAAGACGTGACGACATAGTGTTGTAATATACTATGGTGGCGACCGTTGTTACTAGCTCCATACAAGTAGATACAGCGAAATGAAAGAAATGTACTAAAAATGACATCAGTTAACTAATTACACTAAAAAAGCTGTGTTACTGTAGTGCCTATCTTAGTGCGAAACGGAAAGAACATTGAGAATATTTGTTTGGCCATAGGAAACGGGAACTTTTCGATTAAAGCAATAGTGTTTATATGGGAACCATCGTTCATATTCTGACTCGAACGCAGATGCCAAACTCCCAAGTATAGTTAACATTAGGGGCGTTGGTGATTGCGAATGCTAATTATGATAATAATATTCACGTGATGGCGTGGAATATGCAAAACCACATCAGATTTTTGCATCATGGTACTCTCAAAAAACCCCTTTTCTATTTTAGCGAAACTAATTGTATAAATACCCTCTTTTTCCCTAATACCAACATCTTACTCATATCGACTATTGTTAACACCACATCGTTGTAAGAAATTCAACAACATCTCATAACGACATGGCGAATGAACAAGACATACATATGCAGCCCGACGGCGTGCAGATACACCACCATGTGAGCTGTGGATACAAAACTAACGAGCAAGATAATGGGAAATACAAACTACAACTGATCTGTGCCTGTGAGAACCACGCTTACTACTCAGGACAATCGGAAATACATCGGTTCCCGAACTGTACATTTAACCAGATTGAGCGTTACAGTCCAACCAATTACAGAACTTATTATAAACTTATTCGTTATTGTGCATGTGGTCAGTTCCAATCACCGGGTTCGAACATAGACTATAACGAATTTTAAAATATCGTTTTTTAAACATATCTAATCGAGATGAATCTGTGGGAAGATAATGTACTCCTACCTACACCAGTCTGCAAGTATGCTATGATCTTTATATCATTTAAAGAATGACATTAACAAAGAAGACGCCATGAGACATCAATCTGCGATAAACGACGACCGAAGAACCAACCAATCTTACCTTCTGTACTTGAACCAATTTCAAAACATTCATTACTGATTTAACTTAAGTACTAGTATATCCATTATCAGATTTTGACGAATAAAAAAAGATTAATACGTTCAATTTTGCCTTTGCTTTGTGTGATTGGGTACATATCACTCTGTTTATATACATTCGCCAGGAGAGTGGTATATTTTGGGCAACAAGTATAGCCGCAAACATAAATTGTATGCATTCTCACCAAATCGAAAAGTCCTTACAACAATTCGTAAAATCAAACTATATACCCTGAATATTTTGGCAAACAGATGCGTGGATGCGTTATAATCTACTGAACGCCGCCACATGTGACCAGTACGTCAACCCGCATTTTTTGTCACCAACACGTCGTCGGCGCTTTGCTGATTTCTAACTCACTGTAACGTGGTCAGCATACAGTGGCGGCGGCACATGGGGTTTGTTTAAAGGGGCGATCGCAAAATTTGACCCTCAAAATGCAGGAAATAGCGTTTCAGAGAGTCTACGCCCCTCATGCAAAATTTCTAACCGTCGCCTCTGGGCCATACCCACATAAATCCCAGCTACTGAATTGTAAAATTGTCTACCTTGCGTGGACATTTTATCGGAACATTCAATAATGTACGGTTAAGGGAAATATTCGCCAAACAAACAGCACTAAGACATCCGGTGGTGGTTTAGATTGACCCGTTGCAATACAACATATGTCGAAGGCGTTTCAACAGTTCGACAGATTACTTTGAGCATTAAAATGACGCCTGTCAAAAGTAAAGTTATAATCAATGACTATATGTGAAAGCAACACTTGAAACATGTGTATTAATAGAATTCATCTAAATTCGTATGAATTCGCTACACATGCGACTGCAGTTCAATTAAATTGTGATTGTTTTGTTGAAAAACGCTCATACATATATCCTAAATCTGAGTGTTTAATTTAGTTTCACTCATTAAACGTTGTGTTATTAGTTCAACTACTACCAGAAAACGAAATGTACGTGGTTAGAATATCCACACTAGTTACCCCTTCACAGTCGCGATACAATGAATGTAGAGTGTAGTGAACGATGTTAGCCGTAACCAGTTTTTTTTTTCATTCGAAATTTTGTGATAAATTATGATCCGCTAAATCTTATCATAATTCAAATGATATCGATGAACTCGACATTCAATTTAAAGCACGAGGACGACAAGAAATCTACATCAAAGTGAGAAACACTTGACGGTAACACAAATGATGGCATCAGCTAACGAATTAAAAAGATAAGAAAGATTACATGTTGTAAAAATTGATTACGACACGGACTGTTGCTACCAGCCAAATGAAGAAAAATCGTAGTACAGCAAAGCTAGAAGACAATACACCATTAACACATGGGACGTTTTATTGTCATTATGATCACTTCTGTGACCATGACAAAAATCAGACGTGTCGACTGCACTATCGACTGATGCGTAAATGTCGATATGGTAAACATTGTTTGTATTCAAGTTCTAATATAAGCGCCAATGAGTGCAATTGTGTATAAATGACAAGTCTTCCATCATATATACACGTATTAGATCTGAACACCGTCGCTCAAAACCTTTACTATCAATACACCTCATGCAGTATATCATGAAAGGCCGTATAGATTAATCGCAATGAAATGGAGACCTGTTGTTATGACTTTGTACCATTCAATTATAGAACCAAGCTGAGATCGACTGTCCGCGACATTTTTCAGCATAGAATGCATTACTACAATATGGCTTCCTGGCACTGTGAATGAGCTTGGCAGTTTTTTCAGAAATATATAAAAAAAACACAAACCTCAATAACCCCAGTAACATAACCCCTCAATAACAGCAACAATTGTATATTTTGTTTATGATCATATAAGGTGATTGTTTTTCAGTTTTCTCTAATGGAAGAATTCGAGGTTTCGCAGCTGCTATATCTGTTTTGGACATTCTATGAGACCGGCCTACTATAGTTTATTAAATACGGAATGACAAGCGTGTACCATTATTATAGCGCCTACTTCGTTTCAACTAATTGTAAATATGATCATCGCAATGTTTTAGAAAGCTGGCTAATTTGTCACTGTTATCTGGACTGTCAACATTATTTCAATAATTTCGAAATCCTATCTTTTAGCCCTTCGTTTGATGGAGTTTACTGTTAACTTTGTTGAAAAAAACAACAAGCAAAATACTTCAGGGACAGAAACAAGTTGTTCCAAATTCCTACCGACAATACCAAAGTGGAATTTCCCCGTGTATATATTTAGCACAGTTACAATTTAATAAAACAAATTGACTTACCTTGAATGTAGGCGTGTCTATGGACGGGTGGAGACGTGGAAATTCCCAGAAAAAGATCGCGGTTTTCAGTAAGATAATATCCAGGCACGTAATGATAGTGCTAAGTTGTCAGTACTCTGCGCATGCACTGATATGGTTTGAAATTTTACAAGCTCACTCACACGACAAATCGTGTTGACAGTACAGTAAAAGCTTGCAAAACCTTAATGGCCTAGTTAACTATGGAAGGTGTACGTTAACCATGGCAGAGAGGGATTTGAAATTAAGGTGAACTGATCGTGATCCGCATATTAGACACCACAAATGGCGTCTACTGTTGTGAACAAACACAGTAACCTAAGCATGCGTACATGGGTTAGTGTGTGCATTTATTATGCTAGTAGGCGCTATCCATGACTGCTGCCAGAAAGGTGCAGCTACCAGTGATCTTGAATTTAATCTGTAAAATCAGGCAATGAAAAGCTGATTTTATATCTTAATCATGTATTATACATATGACTTGGCAATTATTAATGAGAAAGGTATTTCGTTAATAACTGTTTTCATAATTTTTACACGTGGCAATTAGTCATCAGCGTTTAATTATTTAATTACATTTCCAGCATAATGGAAGGCAGATAAACAATAATGTGTAATTATTGCATACGTAATTGGAAACAATAAACGGTATTTCAACATATGCAATATGTGACTTTGTGACGCCAGAGGGCAGTACAGTACAATTTTCCTCGCATTCGACAATAATATCCTATTTTCTACCAGTGGTGGCACACATCATTACGTACAAATGTTACTTACAAATAGTCACTATACGCCGGTCTGGTGTCTTTATGTTGTTAATTATATTAATTATAATTACACACACATATACACACTTAATAAATTGCTCAAGAATATATCTTAAATAGATGTGTGTTTTTTATCAACATCAACACATCTCGAATAGACGCGAACAGTTACAACACAGTCTGCCTAACTTCGAAAAATTCATTATCATATTTCAATGTGCCTAGATGGGATATTTATTATTGTATGCAAAAGAGGCGTGTTTTAAATCGTACAATGTTTATTTTTAATCGGGCCCCATGTCTTGTTTTGTCATTAAAACCCAGTTGCTGATATGATAAACAACGCTAGAAAATAAACGTGTTGCATCGCTGCACTAACAATCAAATGATAACAAAATTGCAACAAATTAAACATCAATTTGTTCTCCATTCACATGAAGTGTGATTTTGTTATCATTTGTATTAGTGCAACAGCCAATGTTGTTTACGTTTTGAGTGTGTTTATTGAATCAAAACCTGGATACGAACGACCAAGCTAATATGCAATTAGCGATTTTGTTCCCTACCAAGGTAACAATTCAGTGATCAAGGTAATATGTATATTGGTGTATTGTAACAACGTAGTGGGGTGTTATGATAATGTACCAATCAGGAGGTATGTATCTTGGTAAATTGTAACAATGCAGCAATCATGGTATATGTACCTTGTTATTTCGTGACAGTGCAGTAGGGCACACATATCTTGGTATAATGTAACAATAGATCTGGAGGCATAAAACGTGATATATTGTAACACTGCCATCATGCGGTACATTACAACAATGCAGTATGCTACATAAGAATATTGTGAAACTGCAGAAATCAAGGTACATGCAGAGATCGGTTTACACGTACCTTGGAATATAGTAATAATGCTGCAATCAGAGTACATGCTCTAGGGTACCTGTACCTTGGTATATTGTGAAAATGCAGAAATCTAGGTATATGTACCCTGTCATATTGCAACAATACAGCAGACTACGTGTACGTTGGCATATTGTAACAATGAAGAAATTGAGGAACATGCACTTTGGTATATTGTAACAATGCAGGAATCAGTGTACTTGTATTTGGTTATATTTTAATATTGCAGAAATCAGGGTACATATACCTCGGTAAAATATAACTATGTGCCTTGCTTATCATAATAATCGGAAATGGATAATTTGACACCGATTTGATGATGAAGATTGAACAAGAATATTACGCTGAATTAATTCGCGGCAATAGAGGTGACCGAACATAACGCGAACGTGCCATATCTCGATTTATTCACCACACATTCAGAATTAGCAAATGCTTTTATAACTACTTAAATTGAAAAAGTTGATACTATTTGATTGATGTTCAACAGTGAGTTTCATCATCAAGGTGACAACACTCGCAATGTTGAGCACCCCTTCTCAGAGTTGTATCCAGTGTCAACTGGTAAAATCGCTCGTAATTTAGACCCTCGTTAAACTGGTTTACTGTTTGATTGTTTTAATGGAGTGGTAGCTAGTATCACCTGCAATGCGAACTAACCGAAATGTTGGTCTCAACCTTGTTAGTTTGAGAATAGACTATTGTAATTACCTGATTTATGGTTTATCTAGTGTGTTGATTTCTATATTGCAGAGGACCCAGAATGCTGCTTATCGTTGCTTATCGTTGGCAGTAAATAATATATGACCATATCAGTCCAACTCCAAACACAATACAACTACCGAAAATTTGAAACAGACACTAAAATCCCAACTTGGGATATTGTAACATCATCAGATTGCAACAGCAATCAGGGAGTATGACCTTTGTATATTAGTTTCTCAATTTCAAAGGGCGTGCATGTACATGTTTAAAAAAATGTTTTGAAAATTGTGCTTGACAGTACTTCAGATTAACTACACATGGCAGATTGTTTAAAACATTCGAATTGCTCAAGGGCTGTACAGGCAATCACAATGTTGAATTATTAAATTCTAACTCCTTTGGAATCCAGACAACTAATAATAACAATTGTGAAGTGGTATAGCATAAAGCAAATGCCAAGGAGATTTCTTACAGTTTAATGACATAAACAATAACTAAAAACATTGGTTATCAGATGATGGCATAAACGAACAGTTCATCAGGAAAATCTAGGGTATTTTAGATAATAAGCTGTACATCATCTGTTTCATAACATATATTCAATTGTGTGAATACAGAAAGCTTAGAGGGAACGCAAATAACGGCAGATCTACCTGCAGATAACAATATCCATCTTTACTATTAACGTATTGTGGAATGAAACGTTTTGATCCATTTGTCATGTGACATCGTTCAGATGTACGGTGTTATGGAGCGATAAAAACTCGCCTTGTACATCGAGCAATTAACAATTGTGAAAGAAATAACAACTGGCAAGTTTTTGCTTAGACATTCTATATTTGTTGGTGCAAACTATAAGCTATGCATAATTTAAACAAATTCAAAAGATGCAAAGAACTACTAAATTACATGTTACTGAAAGATTGTGAATTTGTTATCAACTGACCAGATTTAAGCTTTATAGGAGGGAAGGCCAATATCTTTGCAGGAATTCCGATTCAAGCTGGAAAATAAAAAATGGCACATATACGAAAATCATGTTCCCAGCAGCTTTGCAATCGTCGTTTGTGTGAAAAAATGGAATTGTGCCATTTTTTATTTAAATGTTTTTTGTATGTAATTTACATAATTGGTATTGCCAAAAGCCAGTTAATATTTTTGAATATTTTATTATTGTTTTTTTTATATTGCACAATGCATAATGGTGAAGAGGAGGGCCTAGTATGCACTGTATCCTGAATGGGCCATACATAATACATTATGACTATCCGTGTTTTTAATAGAGCAAATAGTAGCATTATATAATTGATATGACAAACATAACAGTTGACATGCATTGTGCTTGTCGACAAGATATTAGTAAAAATTATGCTTTTCAGTATCATACGAATAGCTTTTTTCAAACATTATTATATCGTAATTTTATAACGTTATAATACTGTTATTCATAAATAGCATACATGAATTTTCCCTTGGTACGTCCTAGAATTGTAGTTTTAAATGTCACAAATTTTGTACAATTATTTAAAACGGTTATTTAAGGTTATTTTTTGAAAATTTTTGTCATGTGATTTATTTGCGTAAGTCGCCATAATTACGTTTTCAGTGATACAGAAAACACGTTGTATAAAGTTATTAAAAATAAAAAACTGGCATATTACTATAACGTACATTATAATAAAAAATAACATAACTCAGACATATTGTCATTTAATTTCCTTTTACAACAACGTTATTATGAAACACAACGAAAGAAATGTTACAAAAAGAAGTTCATTCAAATACAATTTGTTCCCAAATCACCATCACGATAAGCTTGAATAATCATTACAACGTGTTCTTTCAACGCATCAAATTTTGCCTTGTCCATGTTATCGATCCATTTCTTACCTTAAATTGAGCTATGACCAACAGATGGCAAAAATGCACGATAACGTTATGCAGTATACCTACCATGCGACGATAGCACTGTGTATTATAGTAATTTCGTGCATCGTATTGTCAGAAATGGTTATCGTGACTGACTGACGGTAGGTGGTTGGTATTGCAGAACTTTATGCAGAAATGATGGATACATGGCACAGAATACACACTTTCACTCTGGGAGTTGGCCCAAAATAATCAAGTCTCGGGAACACGAAAAAGTGCTTATCTAAGCCAAATACGAGAGTTTGTTTCTGTATTCAAGTACAAAGCATTATATAAAAAAAAATCACGTGATACAAAACGACTGATTTGATCTACTCACCTGGATCACGAACAATAATTTAACTAAAAAAGTACTATGTTTAATCTAACACTTTCACTGGTCTCGTATGGCCAGGCAACAATTTATACAGTGTCAGCTCAGATCATAAAGGTTTCTTTAGTGGTCTGAGGTATCAGATGTCAACGGATCACACCTACCGACGTATCATGTGGGTGCATTCTGTAATCCAGTCTAATTTTGTAACAGTATTATATACAAATTATTAAAGCGGGGGAGTCGTCACCTGCGCATGCGTCAAATGGCCATAGCGTGTAATAGTTTACAAACACGTGTCTACCCATGAGCCTTTGCGTTTTTAGCGTGTGTTGTTATCGTCGCCTGGGACTCAATTCCCGCGCGTACGCAGCTGACGCCCCTCCCGCTTTAAATATGAGTGTAAGTATTAAATATGTACATATGATAGGGCATTACAGAAAATAAAATTACATGCACAACAAGATATAATGCAATACAATATTAGAATATAGGGGTGGAAGAATTGCATGATATGCTTTATAGCATAGAAATCCATGTTGAACTGCCGTGCATGGCAGCATAAAATAATATTATTATGTGCGTTATAGTGACGTATTTTGATTAGCTTGTTCTAATATTTTTCAAAAATCGCGGGTGATCGCAAAATAAATAAATTCTGGATATATGCCTTCATGAAATCACACATAAATATATTCGTACGTCAAGTATTTCCCATGGAACGCCGTAACTGTCTCATATTTTTATATTTTGCAGTCCCGTATTTAAGTTATATATTTATTTTAAGCAGTTTCGTAATTTTGTAATATGTAGTTTTATGTTTATGTTATGCATTCACGTATTTATTTAATGTAGTTCCATCTTTATGTTATGCAGTTTCAGATTTATGTTATGTAGTCCTATCGTTATGTTATACATACCTGATTTATGCTATGTAGTCCTATTTTAAGTTATGTAGTCCCATCTTTATGACATGCAATCCCATATGTATGTTATGTAGCCCTATTTTCAAGACTTCAGATTATGAACATCAAATATCATTTTGTTTACATTATAACGAAATATAGTTATTTTTAGATGCATTGCTATATTTGCGTTTTCAGAGATGCATTGGTAACACATAATTTGGAATAGTGACCGTTTCACAATCTGTAAAAAATGTCTCTGATGAACAACTTTCTGTGGTCGGGGAAGTTAAGGTTGGGAGAATTTAAAAATGAAGTCGTAAACATAGTAGATTCAGTCAATTTAGCTGTTCATAAAAAAAAACTGTTCCATGAACATTTTTGAGGACAGGGAAAAACCTCGAAGGCAGAAAGAAATTTTGCAATTCTCGAAGGACATGATTATTACTTCTTGGGTGTAGGGTCAATCAAACAATTGCCCCCGTTTTGGTCTAAGTTGATCAGGTCAACTTTATACGCCTGAAATATTGGGATTAAATAAAATGTTAAAAGTAATATAATAGTACTCAGCCATAATTTGCTTGCATTGGCCAATCAGATAGGTATTACATAGTATGGGAATATAGAAAATGATTAAACAGCTTAATTAAATTGAACTTTCATGATAATACGAGATAACGTATATTACTGTATTGACCCATAGAAAGACCCAAGGTTAGAAATTAACATCGCGGTCAACAAATAACACACATCAGTAGTTGGTGTACACTCGGGACAAATCCGCAGCTTTCGAAACTATCATCATCATCTCCCCTAATTTATTTACCCCAGTGGAGAATTATGGTTATATAATTTGTCATGTTCCAGGGCCACTTTGCTTAATATAGCCAATATACCATTAATTACATATGCAAATTTTGTGTTTGGAACAATCAAATCGTTGGATTAACACCATCAATATACTGGTATAATATAATTTGCATTATATGTGTTGAATGGTCCAATATATGAACATTTCTGTTTATAACTCTTCCAATGAGAATTTGAATTATAACACGATCTAAATCATACTTCAAGCCAATAAAAACTCTTTAGTGCTGAGTGATTTGTTAAATACAACAGCAACTATTACTGTTGGTGTCCAGGGAAAGGGAACAGCCATCACACCTTAACGAGGAAAACTCGATGGATTATTTACGTTCTGACATGTAATTTTGGTATTTGTGGGTTGCTGAATCCAAAAAATGTACATTGAATGAAACAATTCGCCAGTATTTAATCCATTTTAACACCTTGTTTACTCTACTGACTTGCTGTAAGCTGAAATGTTCATATGTCGGTGGAAGGCGATTTTGGAGTTTGTGTAAAGTTAAATTAGAGAATACCCGTAATACATTATTTATACCCGTAACTTTATATTATTTCTATTGTAATGCTATAATGCGAATATGTTTTAATGTAGAAGACCTGTGATCATGAACAGAACGGTGTTTGGTCAGTAAGTTATTTTTGGAGGTGTGGGGTTATGGTGGGGTGCTGCTTGATGCAGTAAGACAGTTGACATGATCGGGAAAATACACGGAAACATATTGTTTCAATCGAAATGGAAATTAGATTGAAATTACACTGAAGTAAAAATATGTTCTGCTCGATCAGTTCAACCGAAAACCCAACATTTAAAGTGGTGAGAGTTGAGCCCCACAACATACAACTAGGTCATGTCAAAGCGTTTAAACAATGTACTGTAAAATAACCCTGTCGAGCAATGCAAATCGCATCCATCCCGGCTGGTGCGATGGAAAGATTTGATTTCCCTCAGTCAGGTTCCAAGATGGATCATCAATTGTCTGATTTCCAATACGTCTTTCAACGGATTCGATTAAGCCATTCCATTCAACTTCCAGAATTATGGTGTCGTTCTCAACGTTATGGGCAAGCAAGTTCCCGCAAAATTGTTAAAGTTGAACTTCACAGCGAATGGTGGTAGAAGTTGCATCATGGGCTATTACACCCTGTTTACCGGTACAAATAAAATTTGGTCAAGACCGAGACAACGGCATCACTGGAGACGTATATCCCGAAGGGTACACAATTTTCGCATTTGACCTCACTCCCGACAAATCAGCGATCATCATAACCTCAATTTGATACAAAAAGTAAAATAGGTCTTGATTTACGCTGGAATAACGTTATCGAGATTGACAGTTACAGAAACATACTGACCGATTTCTAACTGCGATGGGCACGAATCAAGTTTAACGTATTCTGTCTACTAATCTATATCCGTAATGCGTTCTGCGATGTTTACGCTACAGACCAACTGCCTAAGGCAAGGGTGTTCGTATCAAACAGAGAGGGTGGAACACATTGTGTCTCTTTCTATCTGAAGGACCCCTACCTATTTGACTCATACGGCAGCCCATCCCATTACGCAGAATTTAAAAGACGTTCGTAGGTTCATCTACAATCATCGCATATTTCAAGCAACATTTTCTACAGTGTGTGTGATCAATATGTCCTATGTTACTTGCTGTGCAGATGTCGAGGACACTTCGTAGTTGACTCTTTCACGCATGATAAACATTTAAATGACGTTTATGTGAACAGATATATAGAGTAGTTCACCGGACTCAAATAACTTCTTTATGACAGATATTTTCCCCCTCACCGTTTTACTTTATGATAATTTCAAACATATTTATGTTACTATTAATCTTTTACCACTTTCCCTCTTTTTTCTTTTAAGATAGATAAGCGATTCTGATTGTAGTTATGATTAGGAAAGAGTAGAAAAAGCTCAACTGAATAAAAACAAAAAAGTGTACTGACTACTTCACTCATTGGAAAAGAAATATACAAAAAATAACAAAGTACCACTTTTTATTCATCACTGTTCATTATTATTATCGATTTTCTCTTTTCTATGTTACTCAGTTTTTTAATCGAAGTTTTTTGTACTTATATTTCATTTTTTGTGGTATTAGAAATACTTAACCACACTATAAATTTATAATCCATGTAACATTTTCATCTATATTAACTGTATGTGAGTTTGTATGTGAGCGTCCTCTGCCGTTCATTCATAAAATTCATGCTGGGCGTGACGTCTTTACTCGTTTATGGTCATAGCTTGATTTGGGTGCATGGAGTATTTCATGTAGGTGACAATTATTATTTCTAATTTTAATATTTTTTACTGAAGTGATAAATTTCCATGCGTAAACATGCTATTTGAAGGAAGTTTGAAATGTTGATCATAGGTATGATTCCATTTTACCACGACGACGGATGTCAGTGGTCCAGCAGTGGAAACCACCTCCAAGAGAATTAGCATGTCTGATGGAGAGGGTAATTGGCTTAATTCCCAACTTTTCAAACATCTTTACGGTGGGAATTTCGTCGACATCGCAGATAACACGCTTGGTATCCAGCATCAATACATTCATAGATAACCACTTGGACGACATCCATAACGGATGAGCTGTAATTAAAACGTGGTCAGTAAACAGTAAATTTATTACAATAATATTCACTCATCGGAGATTCTCACATCAAGCATAAACAACGGCGCTATTCGGTCATCATTTAAATTAAAAGAAAAGTAAAGAAATGTATTTTTGAATAATCCAACCAACTTACAGTCTGGTATAACCGGGTATGGAGGATAAACAACTGTCCATCCAGCTTTCTTAAACATATCAATTTGATGACATGTTCTTTCGGGATTAGATAAGACAACACCAGGTGCGATAATAAATAATGTTGCATCAATATGCATAGGGTTTCCATTTTCGAACGATAAGCAATGGATGTTGTACTTGTCGCCAAGATGACGTTTCAGCCACTCAATACCAGAGTAATTGGTAACCTGAAAATAGACATTGACAAAAATATGAAAAACACAAATGTGGTAACCTCAAGGACAGGTTCAATTTAATTTTGTAAATGTAAATAAGACTTTGCCTTTATTTTCCATACTCCCATACCAGACCCAATCTTTGTCACGCCTGTTTATTGACAAGTTGTATTCATTCATGTAACTAAATATAAACGTTTACAAAGTTCCCGATCAGCAATGAAATGGTAGCTTAGAAACATACGATGACCGAAACAGTACCGCCACCCACAGTGTCACATGATTGTATAGTGCAGTTCAGAGATGGTAGTTGCCCAATAATTTGTTCTGACAACCAGGTACACACTTCTTGTTTTGAATGAATTTAAGGATGAGATCAGATTTTGCAAGCTTGTGTTCAAACTAGTAAAAATATTTGTGCTAAATATTAATAAAATAATACGATACACAGATATGCGTGTCATTGTTTTTTGGACCCAATGACAAGGCAAATTGACATAGATTGACAGTGAATAATACAAATCAATGCCTACTTCTCGTTGATAAGTTCTGCATATGTTAAACTCAGTCATAACATCAACAACCTGTCATCACAAAGTCGTTTTTTTCTGGCTGGACGGAGTGTTAATTTGCCTTCAGAAAATTGTTGCTGTACGAAATAAAAATTCCCACTATAAAGGATTATAGTAACTGCAACTGTAAATTGTACAAAGGCTTGCGCTGTACAATTCTCATCATTTTCATAATAAAAAAGTAATTTTAGAATGATTTCCATATGTCTGTTTTAAGGGAAAATACTTCACTAGTTTGAGACAAACAAACGTGGAGATAAATAAAAATATATAACATGTAGGTCGTCGAATCGCATCTTCACTGTGCTAATAGGTTTGAATAAAAGGGCCCACGAATCTGCGTCTCATCCCCAGAATAGTAGTTGAAAAAAAGCAACAGCGAAGCAATATCATTTGTAATACAAAGGTCGACATTCAAATTTGGTACAGGCGACACTTGTGATTTCATGTTACGATGTCAAAATGTTGTGTAGCGACTTCTTTCCATAACCTTTCTGTGTGTGAAGTACACAGAACGCCATTTAGCTATCTTGAATCGTATCATGAAGTATGACATAGATCAGAAAGATATTTTATAAACAAAAAATGCCGCTAGTCGTTTGTTTAGAATTCAGTCTTCAAAGCAAAGTGTCGTGCATTGAGTTATCATAATGGTCAGTATAACGTACAAAGTGTGAATATATTCAGATTATACATAACTCTAGTTTCGAAATGACCATGATTTTTCTTCAGAATTAAAACAGCTATTTAGCCGTCTTGAATTGAGTCTCAAACCAATGTATATGTCTGATGTATGGATTTCTGAATTATTAAAACAAATCGGCTGCCAATCGGCCATATTGAATCTACTCGCAAAAAAACATATTGAATTGGATCACCAAACGAATGTTTGTGTATATGTATACAAAGATGTATATATATATAATTATACGTGTGAATTTTGTGACTGGTCCAGACATGTCAGTAAGGCTGTATAACTGTTTTTATTCAAACTTATTGGCCGCTACTCGACCACTTTAAATCCAATCTGCAAAACATAATGACGTGCACCTATATTCCAAAATGCCTAATGTATGTATCGAATTGGAGCAATATCCGTCTATACAAGCCACCATCCGGTTCTGGAGTGAAAGTGTCAGCACACTTTATTTTATGTTTTTGTCATATTACCTCAAACTCTGCAAATGGTGTGCATTGCCGTGTAATAAAGGTGATTGACAGGTCATACTTGTTTTCAACTCTGGAAGGACAATTAACCCAGTAATCGAACAAAATAAACCTACCTGACTTCTCTGAGCAAATATGTCACGACCAGCCCTCATGAAATCGGCAGCATCAAAGCAAGGTTCAAATTCCGTAGTTACAAACTTTGCCTGATCAGTAATTTTATGACGATTGGGATCGTTCTCATCTGGATAATTCTGAAAATGTATATATATATATTCTCAAATAAGGCATATTTTAGAATTGTGGAAGAACTGTGTCCAGTATCAAGCTGCACCCCTTGGCAACAAAAGTTTCTTGGGGACAATTTGTTACCAATTTGATAAAATGTTATAAAGAAGTGTTAACAGCGTCTAAAGTATCCTAGTCAATAATGTGCATTTTAGTGCGAGCACTGTATATGATTTAAATGTTGTATTGCGTCAATTGATTCACCTAGCTGTTTTAGATTGTTGACCATACTGCCATAGCATCACACGTTACTAAGGCTTACATTTGATTTCCATTCGCGATCCCACAGATAATCATTAGCCTAATAACAATTGTTACAAAACATATATATTTCCTGAAAGTATCAATTTAAAATTTACAATCTTTTGTAGTAACTAAACTTATATACAACACAGTCTGACACAATATGGTGCTGAATATTTCAAATCTGCCTGGATGTACATAGCAAAGCCAAATGTTGCCGATTTTAGTTGTGGCATCAAACACACCGCTGAATTTGTTTACTAAGATGATGTTCTAAAATGTCAGGCCTTATACACTGATGCCTTCAAGTTGAAGATATTAGTAGTAGTACACTGAAATTAGAACAACATGTCTAGATATACCACAAGCCACGATAGTACGTTCAGCTTTACTTAAGAGTAAACAAATTCATCTCTGGTCACCTCATACATAATTATTAGCATAGTATACAGCGTATTTGTATAAATTCTCATCGACAACACCACCTATATGATGTATCAAAGGGTCGAATCAAGAGGCCAAAAACATATTGCTTTTCCAATGATAAACCTTACGGGCTGTGTCCATATTTTCTCTTGAATCACTTTGCGCATTATCGTGTGATCAAATATTGATGATATTGATCCTCAGAAGAAACATTATTTGGAAAAAGGACAAATCATTGTACACTTTACTACTTAACAAATACCTGAATGTTAATGCAATGGCAACAAATACTGGCCCTGGTATGTGCTCAGCTTTACCAGCTTACAAGCCTTCACTAGTGCCCTACAAGCCTTTGACTAGTACTTTTGCTAGAAAGGCCAAGGATATAGTGCTAATATGTTGAACATGATACAGATGTGTCATGCAATGAGCTCAGTTGGTAATAAGTTGTTCTATTATGTGGGAAAATTATCTCTGCAATGAACAGATATATTTGTGATGACAATGTAATGAATGCTGCTACTACAACCTATTCGGCACCGAGAACAGACAAACACCTGTCTACTCTTATGAACCATGACAGGCATTCAAATTATCAAGCTGCCATAAGGCATGATGCCAGAAGCGAGTGTCTCGAATCCGGATGGATGGGCACAGATGCATAGTCGAAGACATGGTCATATCAACATATTAATCGATTGGATGTCTCTAGCTACCAGAAGCATTACTACAGTTGTTGATGCAGTTGCTTAAGGAAAGGGTTAGCGTCTGCCAATGCATCTCAATGTACAGAATTCTATGGCTCGCTTGACAGTGGCAACTGACCTTTACTTATCTAACATTTTTTTGGTCGAATGTTGTATATGTGATGTTTGATTCTGATTTTTTGTGACTCGTGATATTCATCCAAGTATGGATTTCTGATGGAACCTTATCCATATTGTGTACGTATATGTATCTCTATCTGTTTAATTTCGCCAAAAGATCTTTTTCATTAGAAAATGAGACCTTCTTTCAACAATAGGTAAATTGAGTGGTTGATCAAAAATCAATGCAGCTAATGGCTAAGCAAGTTGTACATACATTCAAATGAGTCTAGGAACCATTGATGCTGAAGGGTGTACTGGGAGGGGTGGAGGAATTCATGCTTGCAATAACGGGTTGAAATATGTTTATTTGTTGTTTTTAGGATGCAACCTGATATTTGTTGCTATCTTGGTTATTCAAATATGAATTTTTGTGGTGGGTGGTTGGTTGTTGGGTTATTCGTTTAGACAACCTATAGCTTGAAATCGTATGGTCCTAATAAAAATTCGATATGTCGGTGTCTTCTAAAAACATGGCATCAACAAGAATGATTTCTGTGTATTTATTACTGTTGTAGATCCTGGGAACTAGCCATTGAATATGACGTCGAGGGAATAAGATGTGCTTAACATGATTGTTGCTGGCAATATTTAAATTTGTACTAGGAGCGAGCTGTGTCACTAAAACTAGTCGTTTTATTGCTATGCTTCTAAATTATTCTTAGATATGGATTGTAAAATATAAAGATGACATAATGTTTAACAAGGAGATTTGTATATGGTAACAGTCAAGTATTATTGACACTTTCAATGCAATGTCAAGGAATCAAGAGGTGGTGCTTTTTAAAATGTATTTGTGGTCATTTTTCATTTTATTCAAGTGTATTGCAACTGCTCAAGTGACTGCCATGTTCTCCTCCCTTCCTCTCCTTTTTCTCTAATAATGTTACTGGTCTACTCCTTATTTGATGCTACAATACAAATTAATTACATGTAATTGGAGGTTTTAAATTACGATGTAACACGTCTTAGAGTTGTAGTATGCCCGTGCATATTAAAAGTAAAACTGCGATGCAATCAAGCGAAATACTGCACAAAGTATATAGTAAATTCGTTTTAAAGAAATAAGTGATAATATTATAAATTAAATTAAATAGAGATATTCAATGTATTTTGTATGTAGAAAACGTGGCCAGATCATTCAAAAATATAATTTGTGTGAAATAACTGATATTTTTAAAACAGCATACAATACAACAACCAGAGAGGTTCACCAACATGTCTTACATGTCTTTTCTTTTGCTTGAGTGTGAAAGTACATTCTTTAGTTACTATTTCTTTTATTAGGGAAGATTTTTCTGCACAAGTAGAACATATATGTATACATAAATATACATATTCACATGTTTATGTATATACAGTTGGTTCGTGTGTCAGCGCATGCTCAACATCCTTGATTCGATTCCCAGAACAATAGTAACCAAAATATTATATAATGCCCAGTTGCTGAGCAATAACTAAACAATACAACTGTAGTATAGATAAGAAGTCTCATGAATGGCCCTGAAAGTTGTGAGAGTGTATTCAAAACTTCGTAGAGCGTTTTGGATCATTTGCACGAAATGAATAGTTTTCCTTATTGAAGTTATGATTTATAGTTATTATTGGAGCAATCTTTATAATTACGGTTCCTAGGGTTAATAACATGAAGTCAGTTTCATAATCATAATCTGTGAAAATTTCCACTAGACCTGGGTGAAAAACATTTCTGTGAACGAAAAAGTTGAGGTTAGGAGAATTTGAAATAACGTCACAAATAAATACAGCTCTATATAACGTACGCATCTGAAACTGTCTAAATGTTTCGAACTAATGTAATTTTCATTAATAATTCAAGAAATGTTTTCTGAAAATACTAACATCATAAGATATTGGCGTAGTATGTAATACCCAGTCATTATGCCATTAGTCCAGTCAGATAGACAGAATTGTTATTACACACCATGGACATTATTACACTGATAAAATCCTTCATCCTTTATGAATCTAATTAGTTACAGGCCAATGTATATATTTAGAATTAAAACTTTTACTAAATACAACATAACATGAAATCGACATTTTAAGAAATAATTATTCCACACCTTGTCGTAAAGTTCATCAGACATCTGAGGTTTTGGAGCTGTAGTCCAGCGTGCTCCTTTTTGGAAATATTCCTTAATGAGTGGACGATAGGCTCGATACTCGAAGAACCGTGATCTCCATGCCATGGGAGCCTCAATAATTTCATCACCAATTACCAACAAAATATCACGCGGCATAGCAGCATGCATGCCTTGAGACAACAAAAATGTAAAATTAAACAGTTTTATTTTATACGTGCGACACATTCACTGATAAATCTTTGGGTAGTTTTTTGTTGACAACGGAAGCATTATCCTACATTTCTGAGTAGCATATTTACATGGCGATTACTAATATGCGTGTAAAAACAAATGTAGCTATTACTAATCTGCAACCTTTAACCTTTCGTGGATTAATGATTGCACTCATAATCTATGTTATTTGAGGGATTGTTTTGATGATTACTTTCGAATATGTTTTGCATATGTTCTTAAATCATTCAGGTACTGCATGCATATTAAGCACTACTAATACATTGCACACATCAGACACCACGAATACACACAAATAAATGCAACTGGTTCACTAAACGTTACTTCACTAAGAAACAACAATTAATACTACTAATTACTGACACATATGAAACGTTTTTGTGAAAGTAAAATCCGATGAACAAAACATTTTATATTTAATGACAATCAGTCCTCACCAGTGGATCGAAAATCCGGAGTTTTATATTCTATGGAATGGTCCACAATCGCTGGGCGGCGAACAGTGACTCCTTCCTGCTCTAGTATGTTACAAAACGTCTCAATTTCAGCAGCTGCTTTTGCCAAGTGGGCTGCAGGGTAAGGTTGACCACCGCGATATTTAAAGAAATCCCAATTTCTCTTAACTGTTATAGCCTGAAATGTAACAGGTTAATTCACAAACAGACATTCTAGATCCACTTGTTTGTTCTTTGGATGTTGCATAAAACAAATACATTACTAAAATGTTGTAATATTGCTGATTATCCGAGTCAGAATAGGTAATTCACAATTCATAATAAGTGAGACTGTTTATTATTTGGAATATCACAGCAGAAAAACAACAGGTAATTGCAAGTAATTGTCATTTGAAACATAGTAAAGGCCCAAACATATAGATATTTAGCATGTTGTGAAAGAAACATGTTGTTAAAAAGTCCTGTAAAATTTGGGTTTGGCATACAATTTATTAAATTAAAGTAATTTAATAAATACTTTCATTTTACACTATCCAAATATTGACATATGGAAAAAACAAATACGTAACATATTGTGACATAAATTGTAAGTGAAAAGTACTTTTAGAAACTGTTAACAGAGTCCTTGACTTGTGAATGAAAAGCACACATGTTTGGACACTTTGCAACAACAAGTGCAGTTGCCGATACTCCCTGACCACAGTGCACTAGATTAAATTGTAGTGCAGCTGTTTCGACAATGTGCCAGAAGCAAAGAAACATTGTACATTTTTTACACCGGAGAGTGGAGTGTTCCTTGCAACATCGATCAAGTCACTGACTTTGTTTATTGTATATTCCCATTCCTTGCTGGTTCAATTGACTAGATCCCTATACTATTTATTTGATAAAGTGGTGGAAACCCTTATATATTAAGCACGCTACCAGAGACGTCTAGTATAAGACCTTGATTGAGGATAAGGTCCCAGCTCTAGAATACGGAGTAGCCCCCAAAAGACCCCTTCCGTATTTTAAGTCACAATATACTATTACGTGCACGCCTTTAAGATGTCACATGAACATGCTATGCCTACATAATCAGCAACGTAACTGGCAGTTTATCCGTGCGATTACTACACTAGATGACATGAAATCAGCCAAAGTTGTATTGAACATTTTCCTAGCGCAATGTGAATAACATAATTTCAAAGTTCAACTATTACACAGGGACATGATCATTGATTGTGGCGTTGTTGTTGTTACATAGTAAAATGAACATTCAACGTCTAGCTTGTCATCGCATTTAAGGTTAATAGTAAAATTAAAGCTGTAAAACAACTACTCAAACAACTTGGTTTGCACACATGTAACTACCAAGCTCTCTTTTTCAAATTGACCCGCTAAAGCTCACCTGGACTTCCTCTGTAAATGGTGGTACATGGGCACCTTCCACTCGTCCCACGATGATCTCCTCCAACGGATCCCATTCATTACATGACCATACTGGAGACCGCAAAGGTGTCTCCGTCTGCTTTTCTCGACCCAGAGTTATTTTACTGCTGCTCAAACAGGCTACGTGACTTCTAAAAGAACATAACTAAATGAAAGAAGGAAATTTCAATAAAGTGAAACCTAGCCACAGTGCATTCTCTAAAAGATGTAATGTAATATAGGTTCTAATAGGTCACCTAAATCGGTGTTGACATTAGTCATACCTGGAGGCTAAGGTATGCAACAGATTCAACTGTGCCAATTAGCGAGATAGACCGGGTAATAAGTTCATTAAATAATTGAGGGTAATAGCAATTACCTCCACCATATAGACATTGTTGACAACAACTGTACGTAGCCTTTCTTGTGGGGGTATTCGGTATTTGTGATCATTGACAGAAATTGACAATAGAAACTGGTTAAGTTGAGATTTCATGTCTATCCCTGTGCAGTGACTATAATTACATGCAAAATTGTTCAAGAGAACAGATGATGTTATAGACTTTAAAGGTCTTTTGTTTAGCCTAATTAGGGTATATTGTTATGTTGAGTAGCTCACAGCTTGGGATTGGGAATAGTAAGTGACATAATCTTGTGTTTCCTTTGTTCATACAAAGCCATGTAATAAATGGACGAATCATCCTTTAGTACACTTTTAAGGTGGCAGTCAAGACAGCCCCCTGGTTTATACTTAATAAAAGCGTCTATGAACAGACTAATCTTTTGAATATCATTGTTGTCGTCGAAGGCGATTGATATGCAAACTACGTTTGTCTGACGCATTACAAGACAAAAGTCGAAACAGACATCATGATGAAACCCCTCCTTTAAAAAGAGGAAAAACGACCAGTGATCACAGCGATATCATATATATGTTGATCAATTGTGGTCTGACCTTTTAACACTGCAAGCAGTATGGCGATAGTAGTTTGCATTCGAAAAGTGGGGCTGTTTCATATGGAATAACGGACATAATCCGAAATAAATCTTGATATAAGTTACTTTCTGTTGTTAATTGGATAAAAACAGCTAGCTTTGCTCAAAACTTGGGGGGTCTGCTTACCTGTCCTCGCGCCGCCGAAGGCGCGATTTTTATAGGGGGTCCGAGTGCATGCTCCTCAGAAAAAAAATGATGAAATCTAGACCCTCTGAAGCGCTATTTCGTGCATTTTTAGGGGCAAAATTCGAGTTTAATAACATTTCCCCTCCTTATTTTGTTCGCCGCTGGGGCTGCGAATACTGCGTATACAACTGCGTAGCCGTGCTCACGGCATTTTCTATTAAAAAAAATTGAACCTGGCACACAAATACACATCGCCAATTGGTAATACACTGGGCAAGGATTTATCAGCATGTTTCACGGAAAGTTGGGCATGTATTGATGGATCTATTACCGAGCACCCAAAAAGTGAAAAAATGAAAAATATGAACTCAAAATTGAATTTTTATGCAATGCATTCATTATGGCATATCCTGTGATGTTTATTTTACTGGGGAGCACTGGCCACGGGTGAAAGTCGGCCATCTTGTGCACCTATTTCTGGCGATGGGTATTTTACTAATTTCTTGTACATTTTGAGTATTTAAAGTTACATTGTATAGGTTACATGTGTCCGCTACCTTCGACTCAATGCTTGCTTATGTCTCACATAAGAATTATTGCTGGCGATTTTATCCATAAAACACATTCTATTTATAATTACTTACTGTGCCTAAATGGTACGCCGCTTCTCTCCCTTTGCAACCTACGCGAACAGTTAACATTACTGTTAAATTGCACGATCTTGTTTTATGAAAACCTCCAATACGAATAACCATACAAGTCCAGTTGATGTAACTGAGTGGTTCATTCAAAAATATAAATCTCTATCCGGTGACAATTGTGAATTATACTAGTATGCTAATGCTACCAGCTCCCTTCATGTATTTTTAGATTAATTCCTCAAAACCATTTGACCTCCTGGGCAATCCGAACAGTGTTGGAATACGATTTCAGTGTGCAGTATGTACACTAAAACCAAAGGTTTATTAATTAGTGAAGTAACGAGAAAATAAATTGTCAACACCATTTATTCCCAGCCAACATGAACTAATTAGAAGTCACAGAATCACCTGATGGAATTCAGTATTCAGTCAATAAATTCTAATCATGTTAAGAAATATGTTCCTATTGAATTATCAAATGAAATTGGTGACAGCAAAAATAAAATGATATGACATCACAGGTGGATAGCAAACTGATTTAACGATGTCAACAAAACCAACAAATACTACACGACTGCCATAAAAGTGTGATGATTAAGTTATGATATAAAAAGAGTGAAAGTGAATCCACGTTGTTGAATTGTTTCACTGGACATACCTACAATACTTGAATACACGTGTATGTTTGCCTTGAACTTACCCCATGTTATTAATTAACGTTTGGAATGTACTGGAAACCATGTAGACTTTTGCTTTTATCTTTGGATTTTTTTCCACCAAAACTTGATCAAAACAATATTATAATATGAAAGCATAATATCGCATTCTAATATCATGACAGAACCTGTGAATATATTAAACTTAATTTACATTCATCATGGAAGGTACTAACGGAAGGAGACACGACGCCTATCGGCACGGATCTAGAAGCCGTACCTACACACGAATTGGTGACGTCACAAAATACATGACCTTCAATCGGGGTCGTTTCCTCGGTATATACGAATTGGTATATACAAATTACAATAAAGATACCTAAGACATTACACATAAGGTAAAACAAATCATGTGACAATATAATGATAATAACGGTAATAAACCCTAGCTTAACAGTTGAACAGAAGGAAAGCGAAGGACCGAAGGACCTAACCAAAAGACCGAAGGACTTAAACGGGTGTAATGACTATAAAACGCGGATACGAATTACGTTGTTATACGTTGCATTTGTTCACAAATTATGCAGTAGCGATTAAATTTACAAAAATAACAAAAAAGCGAAGGACCACAATTATATTATAAATATGAGCGAAGGACCTCGTTTTTATTGTAAATATGAGCGAATGACCATGATTACGTGATAAAAATGAGCGAAGGACCACGTTTATATTATAAATATGAGCGAAGGACCACGATTATATTATAAATATGAGCCAAGGGCCACGATTATATTATAAATATGAGCGAAGGACCATGATTACGTGGTAAAAATGGGCGAAAGACGACGTTTATATTATAAAAATGAGCGAAGGACCACGATTATATTATAAATAAGAGCGAAGGACCAATATTACGTGACAAATATGAGCGAAGGACCATGATTACGTGACAAATATGAGCGAAGGATCACGTTTATATTATACATATGAGCGAAGGACCAAGTTTATATTATAAATATGAGCAGGACCACGATTATATTATAAATATGAGCGAAGGACCACGTTTATATTATAAATATGAGCGAAGGACCACGTTTATATTATAAATATGAGCGATGGACCACGT